GCGCCACGGGCGGCCAGCGCACCAGCACCGACAGCGTATTCCCTAACCCCACCTCCCACCACTGCCGCACGGGGACGCCCGAGGCCAAATTCACCGTAATAGTCAGGCAGTCTATAATAGATTCACGGGTAGGCTCAGCTAACTCCTGGGACCGCTCACCACCCGCCGCAGTGTAGAGGTCAAAGAGCGCTTGAATCGTCTCCACCAAAATCACACTGGTGTTAGCGGAGAGAGCCCGTTTGGGCTGCTTCATGCGATGCAGCGGCACATTGCCGAGATGTGGATCCATAAGCCGCACAACGAGCGTGGAGAGCAGACGCACCTTACGTGGATGTTTGGCAAGTTGCGCCTGTGGTGGACAGACCTGCTCCATGAAGTGCGGATACCGCTCTGGCCACTCATACAGCATGCACTCCGTGATGAGGTCGACCAGGTCGCCGCAGAGCAGGCGACACAGCGAGGGCTCATTGAGGTACCACATCATAATATCACTATAGGGGACCTTTTCTGCAGCGAGACGACCCGACGCCACGGCACGTCTCAAAAGGACGGCGCCGTAGGCTTGCACTGCGACGCCGTGGTCCGAAACACGCAGTAGGCCCACACCAATTTGAAGTATTTCCTCGGGACCCATTCGATCCTCCGCCTCCAGGACGTCCATGGTGGCAGCGCGACGCGTCTCATTGTCCTGGGCCGTGTACATTGTGGCGAGCTTGCGGATGAAGGTCTCGATGCTCATCACTGATGCTAACTGGTGCGCAGACGACGACAATGGTGCATGCATCGCAGCAGGAGAAGAGAAAAGAGCAAGAGAGGCCAGGGCAGGGGGAGAAGCAACCAAAGGTATATATATATATAGAGAGAGAGAGGGAGAGAAACGCAAAAAAGAGGAACCGGCAAACAACCTCGGCCTTCTTCACAGACAGAAAAGCCCTCTCTCCTGTGACATGGCGTATTGATAGGCGGGTGGGCATATTCGACTCAGCGGTGCGAGGCTGGTGGTTCACGGGGACGCAGCGAGAGGTCCCTGCCGGCTTTGCCCACCACGCGGCAATCCCCACAATCCTGCACGGGGGTATTCCAGTCGAGCCGCCGGCAACGGCCCCAATCCACCGGCTCCATTACCGTTGTCTGGCCGTCATACACCCAACGGCTCAGGTCGCTCATGGTGAAGACACAGCGGTAAAACGACGCCCCACGCACGTCCCAATCGGTCAAGTTAGCGCGGCAGAAAACACACTGAGAGAAACGCCCGCGACGAGCATTCACATCTGCCGCGTCGGCTGCCAGGAACGTGCAGGAATGAAACTGGGCGCCCGCCAGACTACACCCTTGCATTCGTGCCAAGTTAAAGGTGCCATGATCCACAAAGGCACCAGTAAAGTTGGACCCGGAGAGGTCGCAGCGGTTAAACGTGCCTGACAGACGCGTACAGGCGAGGTCGATGCCTACGAGACGGCGGCCCTCCATAAGGGTGCCAACATCAGGCCATTCGGGTACCGGTTTCCCGCCCGCACGTGTCTGAGGCGAAGGTTCAAGGGCTCGCAGCACGGCGTCACGCACAAACGGCATCATCTCTTTTTCTGTGTCCAGTGGGTTGCCCAGTAGCCGCGACGCTGGCGACGGTGCCGCTGATGCATGATGGCCGGGACGCGTCGAGAGAGACGCCTCAAATGGCAGGGAAAGCAGGGCGGCTTTCCGTTGCAGGTTCAGCGCATCCAAAACCTGCGTCATCGCCGCGCGGCGCATGCGTCGCTCCATCGCGCCACAACTCTGCGACACACCCCGCCACCACCATCACCAGCGCAAGTGAAGAAGTGGGAAACCAAAGAGTAGAGGAGCAGCACAGTTACGCCCACCACATGCAACACGGCAGAGAACACAGTTGCACTTCAGAGCCAAAAAAGCCCAGCGATGGGAGGGGAGAAGAACTGCTGAGAAACAAAAAAAAGGCAAGGGAAAAACAAACGAACAAACAAACAAAAAAAAAGGTGACGAATGGTACAACCCCAATCCGCCTCTCTTCAGTGCAAGTACACACGTGCACAGGTGATACCAAGCACATCTCGAGGCACTCTGTTGTTGTTGTTCTTCTTTGTTTGCCGTGTCTTCTTTTTTTTTTCTACGGTTTTACTCTTTTCACTTTTTCATGTGCCTTTTTTTTTCTTTTTTGCTTCCCACGTATCTACGGGAAACAGAAAAATAAAATAAAAAATAAACAACAAACAGGCGCGCACACACACGCACTGTGGCAGAGAGGTGTGAGGGTATGGGGGAAAAAACGAAAAAGAGCTGCGCAGTCCGGGAATCGAACCCGGGCCTCCCGCGTGGCAGGCGAGAATTCTACCACTAGACCAACTGCGCTTGGCGTTTGAAGGACGAATCGATCCCACAGCTGCCACTGTTTTCTCATCCTTCCCCCTCCACACCCAACCCGAGCACACAGAGAGACCGGCCGCCATGGAATGAAAAGAAGACACAACAACAACCCAAAGAGAAGATGGGGAAAAAGGAAAAGAAAAAGGAGTAAAAATTTGTATAAAAATGAAACATAAAATGTATTAAATGTATAATTCTCTTGCGTTTGCTCTACATCCAATCTAATTGCGCGGAGTGGCTGCCAAGGGAACGTGCAGACAGTGGTGAGAGAGAAGGGCGGGTGAGTTTTCTAGGGGTGTGACGTGTGCAGTCTTTTAGTATTTCTTCGTTTTTTGTTTTTCTCCCGTCTCTGCTCCAGGGCGTGGGTGAATTTTACTTATTTTTCTTCGCATGGACCGCCCACACCGCGCGGGTGGTGTGGGGAACACCTTGTCGCCATCTCAGCGGGAGACGCGTGGTCGCTCTGTCCGCCAGGAGCGGCGCGTCATATGCGGAGCTCGCTGGGAGACCGGCGTGTCGCCGTAGCTACGAACCGCGGCGGGGTCCACAGACACAATAAAAGGCTGATGGGGCGACGGTCTGACGTTGTACGCGCATGTGTCGGGCGCGTAGCAGATGTGGCAGGCTGGCCCCGGCAGAGCTGCCTGGTGTACCGGGCACGCCGCCTGCGATGTCTCCTGCTGCGGCACCCCATGGCATGGGCAGGGGTACCCTTCCTGGCCGCCACCGGGAACGACGGCCGCCACCGTTGGCGTCGTCACGGGCGCCGTTGTGGCCGTTGCAGCTCGCCGCGTAGGAAGAATCTCATGGCGGGTCGTGGTGCTAGGCGTGTGGCTCGCGTGTGCTGGCAGCAACCGCGCAGTACGAGCGTCGTACAGTCGCGCAGGTGGCGCCCCCCCCCACCTCCAGCGCCCCCTGCCGCTGCTGCTGCTGCTGCTCCTCCTCTTCCTCCGCCGCCGCGCCCTGCGTCCCCCGCAGCACCTGCACCGCCTCCCTGTTCAATGCGCAGACGCCGCGGACAAACGCCGTCTTCATTTTTTCCTCCAACCCGTCACTGCGGCGCCGCTCCTCCTCCACAAGGCCCTTCAGCGCCTCTACTTCTGCCAGCAGCTCCGTCTCACGACACTTCCACCGCGACTCCTCGGCAAGTGTGAACTTGCACTCCCTGCGGGTCAAGGCGAAGAGGCGCCACTGCGTGTAAAAGTGGCGGGCCTGCGTCATATTTGCAGCGTGAGTCACGATCCTGCCGAGTTGCCGTTGCTGCCGCCGCTTTGCAACCCACCCCTGCCAATCGTGGAAGCGACGTTGCCACCACAACCGCCTGTGCGCCTCGCCCAGAAGCCGCACCAGGCCACGCGCCAGCGTCTGCTGCTGCCGGACGCTCGCCTCCGCGGCGCCAAGGGAGGCCTCCATCTCCCGCTTCTCCTCCTGCAGCGCCTGCTCGCGGTGCTCCGCCTCGGCCCGCAGTGACTCCTTCATCACTAGCAGGTGCTCCTTGAGGTACGGCAGCAGCAGCAGCAGAATATCTTCCCGCAGCCTCGTCGTGTGAGTGTCGATGCCGTTCCCCACCTGCTGTAGAAAGTCTCTGAGGGCCACGCCCCCGCCTCCGTCTCCCGCCTCCGTCACGCCTTCCATCATCTGCTTCTCTCCATACCCAGGGGGCGGGGAGGAAGAAGGGCAATTGCACCGTTGCGGCGGTGGACGGTGTGTCCGGGCAGAAGAAACGCGGGGGGAAAAGAAAAAGAGAAAAGAAAGAGAAAAGACATAATGGCTGTCACTCGGGCGGTTCATCCCTCCCCCCCCCCAACACACACAAACAAAGAGAGAGAGAGACAAAAAATAAAAAATGACACCAAAAGCAAATGACTCCACGTTTTGCCTTCTGTGGGATAATCGTGGAGCGCGGCTCAATTGAGGCTGCACCAGGCCACAAAGATCTCCACGGCGAGGGCCGCGACGTCAGATCTTACTGTGGCAGTACATAACGCTAGTTTCTTCGGTGTGAAGCCTGGCGACAAGACTACACTCCACACAGGCGGCTAGTTCTTCCCTGTTCCCACACACACACGCACAGAAAGTGGGACATATTCAGCGGTTTCAACGTCACGCGGCCGCAATAAAAACAGACAAAACGTGAGACTAATAGTCATTGTGGTAAAAGTAATGACAAGAATAATAATGCATCGATCACACACACAACTTAGCGTTCTCTTTCAGAAAAGTTCCTTTGTAGAGAAACTCGGCTGTGAATCAAGCGCCTCTCCGTTCATAGAGGCGTCTGCACTCTGCCGCTCCTGCAACTTGGCTGCTTGCTGAGGGCTAAGCGTGTTTTCGTGCGCCCGCAGGGACTCCCTGCGCTTTTGCAGCTCAGCATACTCTTTTGCGGCGGGAAGGGAACAGAGAACAGGATTCCGTGCCACGCGATTGTGCTTTACAGCATCACGATACAACAGGGAGGAACCATATGTAAAGGTAGGGTGCATCGGATCGGCCAAGTGTGCCTCCAGTGCGTGAATGGTGCGGTCGAATTCACGCCTATCAATAAGATGGGCCAACTTTTCCCGCACATTTGCCAACTCACGCAAAAGTATTTGCTTCTGTGCCATAGCTCCTGGCAGAAGAATTTGGCATATGCGTCGCAAGGCATCGTTGATTAGCTTCTGCCCCCGATTGCGGGAGGCAAGTGTGCCCTGGGTCTAGGTGTACAGGTAGGCTGGCTCGTACATGTCCCACAGCTTATGCCCCTCCGCCGCATCTCTGGGCTGAACTCGGAAGGCAAAATAGAGATGGGTCCAGAAGAGGTACGGGTCGGAGCCCTCATGTTCCTGCGCCCGCCATCGCAGCATGTTCGCGCGAAACACCTCCTCGGCGACGTCGTTGACGGCAGAAAAGTACTCCTCCAGCTCAGGCAGATATGCCCCGCCATGCGCGCGTTGTTCCATGGCCTTAAGCAACAGTTCATTTGAGGGCACTCGTCCAATATGCCCGTTCACTCTCGCTGTAATGCACTCACCGAGCGCGGGAAGGTTGGCGTGCACCAGCGCGAGGCGGTGGGGAAGGTCGGAAAAGGGCTCCAGCCAATACCTCGGTTCCTTAGCCGCGAAGAGGTTTTCAACCACAACCTCAACCTCCTGCAGGTGTCGTTCCACGTCGCACCCAGGCTCATACACCCGCATAAGATACTTCGCCTCCGTTAATAGAGGCGCCTTCCATGATGGGGGAAAACGCTCGCGCGCCATACGAATTGCCAGGTGGTAAAAATTCAAACACTTCTCACGGTAGGAGCGCCCCGTCTGGAAACGCCCCTGCCAAAACATAAATTCACTGTGCTCATTGTACAAGTCGCCCATATACCGCATCCACAGGTGCTCGGCAGTTTCCTCCGTTAGGGGCGCCCCTTTGAGAAAAAGGCGGGCACGTTCTGGAAAGGGGTGGGTGGATGGATGCGTCTTCTTGTTCACATTATCCAGGCAGCGGTCGGAGATGTCCAACGCGAGGGTTAACCGACCACGCCGCTCGTTATACCACATGCACTCAGTCTCATCCATCACCGGGTACCACCGCTTCGAGGTGCCGGAGTGCCACAGCCCCTCCGCCTTATCCAGCTGGCCGACGATTTCGGCGTAGACGGTGTTTTCGCCGTCAAGAAAGTCCTTCCTCTCGCACTCATACGGAGGGTCCGAGTCGGGGATGGGAATCTGCACCACGCCGCTGGAGGCCTTGGCACAGTTCGAGAACCACTCGATGGAGTCCTCAAACAGGCTCTCCGCCCGTGTGCGGAAGCAGCTGTCGGCAAACTCGATGTACATCCGGTGCAGCTGCTTGGCGGCGTAGAAGCAAAGAGCCCCACGACACCACTGAAAAAACGCTTCCACAGCGGCATCGCGGGCGGAGTCCGTGATCCCCTCCAGACGCATGGGACACTTGAGCTTGGCGTCATTCACATGCCGCTTTAGAAACTCCAGGCTAGTCTCCAGCTGCTCCACGCTGCAAAAGTCTGTGAGACTGAATTCCCCGAGTTCGTTGTTGATCCAGTTCATAAAAGGCCTTCCTAAGGGCTCGTACTTGCGATCGCGAATCATGATCACGTAGCGTTGCGCCAGGTTCTTGCGGATGGAGTCAAGCTCAAGCGAGGTCATCTCCTGAATGAACTTCATAAAATTCGGCCCGAGAAGCTTGCACTTGGTGGAGGCCCGGAGCAGGATCTCATCCGCCTCCGACTTGGTCGTCTTGGACTCCGTCACGCGGTTTCCCCCAAAATTGTAGAAATCTGCAAGAAAGTGTTTCGTGTGCGCCTCAAATATCATGCGGAAGATGACCTCGTGCTCTGCGGGAATCTCTGGATGCTCCCCAACCTCCCCGCGGCGGAAGCGCTCCATGGTGTCCATCAGCATGCGCTCACACTTGCCCTCCGTTGTCACCTGCGTGAGGTTCCCAATCTCCGTCATGCGCTGCTGAAAGGTCTCGCGGTACGCCCGCCAGGTCTTCTCCAGGTCCGGTTTGCTAAAATCAACGGCGTCTTCGGTGGCCACGCCACGGTATGGGTCCGTGATAGAATCCACTTCCCACGGTAGCGAGGAGAGGAGAATATCGGGGTCGTACTGCACCTTTGCTTTCTTCAACCGTTCTTGCTGCTCCTTGCGCAACTTCTCAGACTTTTTCATCGCAGAGGCCTTGCTCGTCGCCGTCGTTTCTCCCTCCTTTGAACCACGCTTGCCCAGTTTCCAAAACAGTGGAACGGGCTTGTAGCCCTCCACCAGCTCCGGCAGCGACTTTAGTTTGTGCATCTTCATCTCGTCAAAGGCCGAAACACCATTGAAGGCCTCATCATATGTAATACGGTTCTCCTCCGTGAGTTGGGGGGGGGGGGAGGCTAATAGTACTCTACCTGTGCCGACTCTCTCACCTCCAAAGGGTCATGTGTCAAGTCATACGCCTGAATGAGGGGCTCCGTCTCCACAAGCGTTTCACGGTACCACTGTGGCATTTCCTCCATTGCACGGCTCTTTGGAACATTGTAGAGCTCTTCTGGAATATCCGGCTCCGTGTCTTGTGGACGCTGCCTCATATTAATGAGGCCTGAGGACGTCGTGGGAGCAGCCAAGGTATCGTTGTCACACACCTCCCCCTCATTCCGATCTCCGAGGGCCGGGACAGTCCTTCCCTCAATCTCCTGCACAACGTTTTCCATGGTATTCAGCGCGGAGGCACCATAACCCTTTTGCAGACGCCGTGCTGCTTGGAGGTATTGTGGTGTGCCTTCATGAGGGCAGGAACCGCGTCATACCCCCGCCTGCCTCGCCATGTCGGCGGTTTGCTCCAGCAACTCATTCTGAATATTTGCCTCTGCGGCAATGGCGGCCCCTTGCTCCACGGTGATGCCGGTAGAAAGCAGCTTCATCACAGCCCTTGGAAATCCCGAAATGGGGTCCACTCCCAAAGGGCCCAAGTTTTTGCTGCGTTCGAGGGCTTCCTTGGCGCCGTAGGCCTGAATCTTCATTTTTGTTCGTGCCACCTCCAGTGGGTCGGCGGTGCCTGAGAGGGCCTGATACGTTTGCTCGGGGTCAAGATCCACCACACTGGAGATAATCTCGTTGTAGAAATTGCCCATCTCCAGCTGACGCCGCTACTCTTCCTCGATAAGCGTGCGCTCTTCACGGAGACTTTCATGCACCGCCTTCCGCTCCCCTCCCTCTATAAGCCACGTACGCTCCTTGTACTTTGTGTCGGCCAAATGTTTCCAGGAGGTGTCAGACCACTGCTGATCGGAGGGAAGTACCCGACGTCTACAGTGTTCATCGTAATGGTCAAGATAATCTGTGTAGCTTTGTGGACAAATCATACGATCCTTCTGAATCTTGAAGGATCGATCCTTCCAGTGCGGGTACCACTCCTGCTCTCGCTCAATAGGATCCGAATGTAGAGGTCAAAACGATCGCGAACCTCCTGAATCATTTCCTCCGCAGTTGGTATCATCTCCCTTCGCCACCGCATCTCCCAAGGAAGTCCATCGACATCTTGCTGCTCCTGCAGCATGTCACGCCGCGTCTGCTGTGAGCTCTTCACCAGTCGCTCACCAGGGCCATACTCTCCGAAGCGGTGTTGCATCTCACGCTCTTTTTCCACGTCTGTGCGATTGCGACGCTCCTCCGGAACGTCTGGAACCATGACATACTCCATGTTGTTCATCCCAAATTGAAGATGCTGCGTTAGGTCAGGCGGCTCTACCAACGACATATGATTTCCAGAGGTGGGGCCCGCGTTTGGGCGGCTTCGCTGCATGCCATGGGACGGACCCATGCATCAACGGGCCTGGGGAAGAGATGCCCCGGCCGGGGAGCTACGCGGCGGCCCAGGGTTCAAGGTGCCCCCAACAAAACCTGAAAAGGATACCTGCGAGTAAACACGACGCATGCGTCACCCCATCCACACAGATCCAGCTTTAATCCTCCTTCGCCCCCTGCCTGGGAAGCGGGCAGAAGCGATTTTCAAAGAAGGCGTAGTAACAAAGCAAAAAAAAAAGTATGAGGGGTGAAAATTAAAATAATAATAATAATAATAAAATAAACAAAAATATGGACTCGTGTAACGTGTAATACAGAGAAGGCTCAAGGTGTGGAGTGCGGCCTGCGACAAAGAACACATGGCCCGGCGAAAGCACCGTTCGCACTTCGATCAAATCGGTTACTAGAGCCGTTTTCTTGTTTGTTTGTTTGCTTGCTTTTTGTTGTTGCTGTTCTCTTTCCGTATTTTTTTTTTATCCTACTTTGCGTTTCACACCCTGCTACCCACGTCTGCTCCTTCGTGCGGTCATCCGCAAGGCTTGCCGTTGTTGTGTAGGTGTAAATATATAGACATATAGGCACACACTAAAGGAACACCTGAACCCAACGCACTCCCCGCCTCTTCGACCGACACATAAACAGTAATGAGATACACATGTATAAATAACGGTGTGGGTGGGGGGTGGGGGGAGAGAAGAGAGAAGAGGAGGAAGAAAAAAAAAACCAGCAACATCAATAATAAAAACAATAAAAATAACCACAAGTTGCGCATTGATCCTTTGCTTTTTCACTATGAAATTGGCACAGGTCGACGTCGTCCCGTCATCCCGTCCGAGCCCTTGGGCGGTTTCTTGGCAGGAGGTTGAAGGCTCTCCGTTGTGACCTTTGCCGGCAGTACCTCCCCCTTCAGAATTCGTTTCAGTTCCTCGCCTGTTAAGGTCTCGTGTTGCATTAGGTGCTGAGCGACGGAATCCAGCTCCTTCCTGTGACTAAGGAGCATTTCTTTGACCTCCTTGTAGGAGTCTTTTAGGAGGGAGGCGACCTCTGTTTCTATTTTGCTTTTTGTTGCCTCTGACATATATGCGCCCTCTGGTGTGCCGGCGGACTCGTAGTCAACAAAACCAACCTCATCACTAAATCCAAAGCGTCGTACCATATTACGCGCCATTTGCGACGCTTGATGAAAATCCGAACTGGCACCCGTGGTCACATCATCTTCCCCAAGCAGAATCTCTTCCCCCACGCGACCTGCCAGGCAAACTTTAAGTCGCGCCAAACACTGTCTTTTCCTTTGGCTGTATGTGTCCCTTTCAGGAGCCTGCGCAACGAGCCCCATGATACCATTGCCTCGAGGAACAATGGTGGCCTTTTGCACAGGCTCTGCGCCTTCCTTCTCTAGAAGAATTGCCGCTATCGCATGGCCCCCTTCATGGTACGCGGTCACTCGTCGCTCCTCCTCCGGAATCACCTTATTGCTTGCTGTGCCCATCATCACACGATCCTTGGCGTACTCAACATCCTCCATGGTGACGGCATTTTTACGCATTACCGCAGCTCGAATTGTGGCAATGTTAACCAAATTGTTCAGCTCCGCACCAGTAAAACCTGTGGTTCCTCGCGCGATGGAGTGGGCGTTCACCGAGGCATCTGCCTTCACCTTTTTCAAATACACCTCTAACACCTCCTCACGCCCCTTCATATCTGGAGGGTCTACAGAAATTGTGGTGTCAAATCGCCCGGGGCGAGTTAGAGCCTTGTCCAACGCATCCGGGGTATTAGTGGCCGCCAAAACAACGACTGACTCTTTCGAACGGAAGCCATCCATCTCAGCCAAAAGTTGGTTTAATGTCATGCGAGAATAGGCGTGATCCGCTCTCGATCGTTTACCACCTAAGGCATCAATTTCATCAATGAAGATTAGGGCTGGGGCGTTTGCTTTTGCAGCCGCAAACAGTTCTCGTACCCGACGGGACCCGACACCCACGTACATTTCGTCAAACTCACTCCCTGTGGCGTAGAAAAAGTTCACCCCAGCCTCCTTGGCAATGGCCTTCGCAAGCATAGTCTTGCCGCACCCAGGGGGACCGACCAACAGTGCGCCCTTCGGAAGTCGCCCTCCCAGGTAATAAAACCTCTCTGGATCCTTAAGAAACTCAACAACTACTTCAAGCTCCTCTTTTGCCTCGTCACAACCACGAATGGAATCAAAGGTAACTTCAAGATCATTTAAGTCCACCGGCCTCACATCGGAAGATACAAACACGCCCGTGAGTGCCGCTCGGGAAACAGGTGACGACCGCACAGATGAGCTGCTTTCCTGTATTCGGCTACTCAATTCATCAATAAGGTTAAGTACACAACTGATTCCAATCCCAAAAAGCAGCAGTAACCACATTCGCGTTGCCCAAGATGTTTGTTGAGGGGCCGAGAGAACAACTAGCGGTCGCTCCTTGGTTCCCAACTCTGGCACCGTGGCACCGAGGAGGCCTGGAGTTCCCCGTTGCGTGTTATATACTGGTTGACCAGGTGGAACCCCTTGGTGTACATACGGTGGATAGGGTGAAACCTGCGGCTGCTGCATCGAGGAAGGGGAGGGCGGAGGAGGATATGCGGTCTGCCTTGAGTAGTCATGATAACTGCATCGTTGAGTAGAAATTGAATGTGGAATAATGACAGTCGTCAGCCGCCTGCCTGGGCCCCATTTAAAACGCAAGGCTAACGTCTGTTGCCTCAAGACGGACTCAAGCTGTCCATAGTAACGCCGCATTCCTTCTTTTTTTTTTCCTTTCCTTCTTTATTTTTCTCCTTTGCACTATGCGTCCGTATTTTATCCTCACAAAATGCTCCCCAAATAACAAATATAATTGGCTCCTTCGCTGAACCCAAAGAAAAACCCGCAAAGTGAGTAACAAGAAGAGTAATAACACGGATAACACACAAAATTGCGTATATCCTACATGCTTCTCATTCTCCAATGAGACGATAGCATTTCCTCGTTTTTCCCCCCTCTCCTTCTCTCACCGCCAAGAAGAAGAAGAAGACCGAAACAAAATCAACAGCAACCAACACAGAAGAACAAATACCTTTTTTTTTTCTTAAAGGGACCATTGACTCTCAGAGGCAGCTTACTTTTTATTCTCTAAAATATCAAATGTTTCTGGCGACCCATCCCTTCAGTTTTGTAGCTTATCCTCCTACTTCTTTTTATTCCGTTTCCCAAAAAAGGGAGAAAAAAAGGGATGATCTCCACTGTAGCAACTTGTGCAGTAAATCCAAGTTTCAGTGAATGACGTTAACTCATGTCGTACGTTGACAGTATCATCTCACGAAGATTAGGATGGAGCGCGCTCAGATGATCTCTCAATTGCTCACTGTGTTTGTTGCTATAAAAGTAGAGCATAGAACTAAGTTTTTCTCGAGTACCAGGAAAGTTACATGCCGCCTGTTGCCAACTGTAAATAAGTCGCATAACATCCGGAAGTATGGCGAAAGCAACTTCTTCAGCTGATAATAGGGCATCTATTAGATGTATTGTTGCCACAGATTTACCACATGTGTTCTCTGCCTGTGCCATTATTCGAGCGAGCTCTTCGGGACGCGATTGCGCCAAAAGCCCCGGCACGGCATCAAGGGCATGACATATATCGTACGCCATTTGTGAAAAAAGCCAACGTGAATCATTGTACGCGTCGCTGCGAAGCGCATCTACTGCAGCAGCAAATGCCATAGAGGCATCTTGGGGAAAGTCGGAAAAATATACTTCGACCATTAGCGTAATCAAACGCACCAGCTCCATTTTATCAAAAGAAAGATCTACCTCACGAATGGAAGAAGCAAGTGTAACAAGCAACGTGTCGCCCATTCCATTAGGATAAGCAGATTTTCCAATCGACTTTAACAAACGATGGAGTAATGTAACAGCTGCTGATTTCACGGATTTCTTGGGAATAGTAACAAGAAGTTGAAATGCTAGGCTTGCTAACGATCCTTGTGCTTGACATATCCATTCAGCGAGGACGGCAGTAGAGGTAACATTCAAAAAGTTGGAACAAGTAAGCATCATATTGCACAATAAGTCCTCATCGTCTCTGATGTCTCGCTCGACTGCATCCTTTAATGCGGCGTACCACATCCCAAGAATTTTAAAGGAAATTTCTGAATCTGGAAAACGTGTCAAGTATCCTGCGACAACACGATCAATTGAAAAGATATCCTTATCGACGTGTGTGTTTGGTACTCCGTCGATGTAAAGTGCCACATATGAAGCTTCAAAGTGTTTTACGCGTTCCATTCGATTACTTTTAAATGCATCTCCAATTCGTGATGTAAGTTGAAAATCTTCGGCAACAGCGAGCAAATGCAAGGCCAAGTCGCAAAGAAGTGATAGATTTCCATCGCAATATATTGGTAAACATGCGATGATTGACTCAGTTAAACAAGGAAAAGAGTCAACAAGGTTGGTCGTTGCACCCATATCATGCCCCGTTACAAATGCTGTATTTAAAGCAGATACCGCTGCTTGTTGCACGCGTTTACTTGTACTTTGCATTCGAGAAACGAAAGCTGCCATAATATCAGATAGAATTTTTCCATCGCATGTGCAAGCCCATTCCAATATTCGTGATAAGGACCATATAGCGACGCTAACCACAAAGATACCCTCTGAATCCGACAGAACAGTATCAATTAATTGTCGAACAATACCTGAAACTGTAAGTTCAATTTCCGTGTAACAACCGTTTGCAATGGTCCCAAACAGCACAATTGCAGCTTCCTTGAGTTGTCCATCAGCACTCCATAAAACCCTAATCTGCTCAATTAGATGTGGAAATGTATCTTTACCTGAAAAAATACAGAGAGCGTCAATACACCGTAATGCTGATGCGCGCAATGTGGCGGCTCCACAATCATCCTCCATAAACATATCTTCGGATATGTCTTTGCTTCCTTCATTCAAATGATAATTAACTGCAGTTACATCACGCATTCGATAGTCATCGTTTGACAATATGACATCCATCTCTTCAGTAGACATAGGAACACAATTCACCAGGGCCGGGACAAGACCTGGTAGCATTATAAGTATTGGTTCCATAAGAAGAGAAATAGGTCCATTACCTCCCACTCGATCATATAGTTTCAAGGCTGCTGTTAACAAATCCATGGCAATCGTCTTTAATGGAAGATTGTATTCCCCAACATCAACCCTCGAAGAAACTATATCTATCGTATGACGAATCCACCAATCGATCAATCTTGTCATTTCGACAGCGTTCATAGGAGTAAAATAGTCAAGATACTCAAGCATTAACACACACGAGCGTAATACTTGAATCAGTAGAGGAATATCACCCCCGCAACCTTGCTCTAGAAGTGTCGTACATACACCAGCAAAAGTACCACTCGCAGCTGTTAATCCTGTTTGCAAGGGGGAAAGCCCTTCTACATTCCAATCAAGTTGTTCCGCTTGCTCATAAATATTAAAGCACATTCGGAATGCGGCTTTCTGAAGATGTGCTTCGGTATTTTGATTCAATACAAGCGTTAAAACTCGATCAATGATGTCTTTACTGGCAGCACCAACCTCTTTTGGGAGATCTTCCATTAAATACTGAAGAGTGTAAAGAGCAGACAAGGTCCTTAAATTCCCCGCTCCAAATAGTTCGTCAAGAAGCAAATTTGGAATATTACCTATTCCACACTCCTGCCACCATTCAAAAGAGGTGAGAGCCGTTATTTTCACCACAATTTGGGCTGCTACTCGAGCAATTCGAGCATCTGATGGATTACGCAGCACGGATAAAGTACAGCGAGCCGCCTCCTTTACGGCTCCTAGACCCAGTGCATATTTGGAGTTCTCAAGATTATTCTTTAAAGTTATTCCGGCAAGTCGCCTATATTGAATCCAGGATCCATCTAATTGCAATCCCTCAACAGGACAAGCCTCCGCACCGAAAACATAGGATAGTAAAACGCAGAAAGACGGGTTTGCCTGATATTGCTGCAGTTCAGCATACGCCTTCTTAGAATTTTGAACACTAACACCATTGTCATGAAGGAGTCTCAAAACACTTTGTACGTCACCTGGAGTTGGACGATAAAGTTCCTCAAAATTCATTGTGCCGTGATCTAGCCCTTATTGTGTTCAAATAATAAGAACAATGAAAATAATCGTTATTATAATACAGACATCTGCATGGAAACAAAATCAAAACGAAAAAAATAATTAAAATATATGACCATTGCATTAAGAGAAATCAATAAAAAAAATGACAACGACAACTAAAGACAAAGTTGTGTTGTAAATTCCGCGAGAATAAAAAATCGTAAACATTGATAAGCAAAGCACATACCCTGAAAAGAAAGCAAAAAACTGGTCCAAATATTTCTCTCATAAAACAGAAACAATAAAAGAAGGTTGGGAATTCTGAACATCCTCCATACACCTTCAACCCTCACAGATCGACCGATAAGTTGCATCGGTTACGGCATTACATCACGGACTGGCTGCCAAAAAAAAAAACGCCCATATCAAAAGTAAAGAAAAGCAAAAAACAAAGAAGAAACACTGACATCAATAATCAAGCCAATAATAATAATACGCAAAAAATATTAAAAAATCGGCAGCAATAACAGCCATATATATATATATATATATATATATATATATATATATATATATA